GTGTTGATGGGAGGGTGAATGAAGCCAGAAAGATTGCTGAGGCTCTAGACAGATATTCAGGGCCCAGATAAAATCCTTGTGAATTAGTCTGCTCTGCTGTTATAACAAATACCACAGAATGGGTGGCTTACACAACAGACATTTACTCTCACAGTTCTGGAGGCTGGAAGCCTGAGATCAAGCCATTGACAGCTTCAGTTTCTCCTGAGCTCTCTCCTTTTGGTTTGCACATGACTCTTCTTTCTGTGTCTTCACATGATCTTCCTTCTTGGTGTATCTTATAAAGATATCAGTTATTGTATTAACAGCCTCATTTTAATTTAATTAACTCTTCAAAGTCCCTATCTCTAAATACAGTCACACATACTGAGTTACTGGGGACTAGAATTTCAACATATGAATTTGAAGAGGGGTACATATTTTGGTCCATGACAACTTGCATGGCACATTAAATAATTTGGCCTCTATTATATGTCAGTGTTTCCCAAAACTTGTGGTGAATTGAAATCTCCTGAAGAGCTTTTTATAAACACTTAAAAAATTATATTAAAAGCAAGCAATAGTGTGACACTAAAAAGGCTGCTTATAAGTACAGTTGTTATATTTTACAAATATGATGTTAAATACTTACAATTTAGGTTTCCCCTAGAAAAAGATCAATGGAAACATCAATTGCTTTTCAGATTTGATAGTTGCTGCTTCAAAAGTTGGTTTTACAAAACTCTAAGTTACCAAAAAAAAAAAAAAACCCAAAAAACCCAACAACAACAACAAAAAAACTTCAACAAACTTTAGAGCACAATGAATTGCTTTTACTTTGGTATGCATCCACATCTCAGCATTTAGTGATCCTGAACAGAAAAGTAGAAAAACGCAGCATTTTGCCAGGAAGTCAAGCCCACCAAGTTCAAGAATCTGCTGTGCCACTGAGTTTTTTTCATTCTTGTCTTTTTTTAACCCGAGATTAACCTTATCATCTCCCTCAGATTCTGCACTTTATTTGATTTTTTAAAGATTTTACCCATTTATTTTTAGAGAGAGGGGAAGGAAGAAAGAGAGGGAGAGAATCATCAATGTGTAAGAGAAACATCAATCAGTTGCCTCTCGCACACCCCCAGCCAGGGACCTGGCCTGCAATGCAGGCATGTGCTGTGACTGGGAATAGAGCTGGAAATCGAACCAGCGACCTTTCAGTATTCAGTACAACCCTCAACCCACTGAGCCACACCAGTGATGGCCAAGTTCTTTCTTAATCCCTGCTAAAGACCACAAGAGCAGCAGCACCAAAGCCAAAGTATGCACTGAATTCAAGGTTCTTTTTGTTCCAGTTGTCAGATTCCAAACTAGACCCAAATGGATTACAAAGATGACCAAATGAGAGAGCCCTGTTTAAAACTTCCTTAATTAGTAAAAGCAAAAGCAAAAGCAATTATGGGAAAAGAAAACAATTCATTCAGAGGGATCATATGTGCTTATAAGTGTCTTCTGTGGTCTTTTCCCAAGCTTAACCAGCAAGGACTTTGAGAACTGGCAGGTCCGAGTAGCCCTGCTGACTTTTCTTTTCACCTTATTAAAACCCGAGCCCCCCCCCCCCCCCCCCGGCAAATGCATTGGCTTCCCTTATCTCCACATCCTCCCTAGCACTTGTCGTTTGTCCTTTTGTTAGTGAGAGACATTTTGGCAGGTGTGAGGTGATATCTCATTGTGGTTTGAATTTGCATCTCTCTGATGGCTAGGGATGTTGAGCTTTTTATCATATGTTCATGGGCCCTGTGTATGTCCTCCTTGTAGAGGTGTCTATTCAGGTCCTTTGCCCAATTTTTAAATTGGATTGTTTGTCTTTCTGATGTTGAGGGATATAAGTTCTTTGTACATTTTGGAGTTTAAACCCTTGTCTGATGTATCGTTGGCAAATATGTTCTCCCATACAGTCAATTCCCTTTTCATTTTTGATGGTTTCTTTAGCTGTGAAGAAGCTTTTTAATTTGATATAGTCCCATTTGCTTATTTTTCCCTTTATTTCCCTTGCCCTAGGAGATATATTGGCAAAAATATTGCTATGCCAGATATCTGAAATTTTACTGCCTACATTTTCCTTTAAGATTTTTATGGTATCACAGCTTATATTTAAGTCTTTTATCCATTTTGAGTTTATTCTGGTGTATGGTGTTAGATGGTGATCTAGTTTCAATTTTTTGCATGTAGCAGTCCAGTTCTCTCAACAGTATTGAAGAGACTGTCTTTACTCCATTGTATGCTGCACTGTTGGCGGGAATGCAGACTGGTGCAGCCACTGTGGAAAACAGTATGGAATTTCCTCACAATTAAAAATGGAACTGCCTTTTGACCCAGTGATTCCACTTCTGGGAATACATGCTCTCACGTGCCCCCCAGTGGGGACTTGGCCAGCAACCCAGGCATGTGCCGTGACTGGGAATTGAACCGGTGACCTTGTGGTTCACAGGCTGGTGCACAGTCCCTGGAGCCACACCAGCCAGGGCTGTCTTTGTTCTTCTTGTATGCTTAGTTTGTTTTTTAAATTCAATTGTTGATAGATATGTATTTTTTGCCATTTTATTGTTCATAGATTTGATCTTCTCTTTCCTAAATAAGTCCCTTAATATTTCATATAATAATGGTTTGGTGATGATGATCTTCTTTAGTTTTTTCTTGTCTGGGAAGCCCTTTATTTGCCCTCCAATTCTAAATGATATTTTTGCTAGGTAGAGCAAACTTGGCTGTAGGTTTCTGCTTTCCATGACTTTGAATATTTCTTGTCAATCCCTTCTAGCCTGTAAAGTTTCTTTTGAGAACTCAGCTAGCAGTGTAATGGGAACTCCCTTGTAGGTAACTACCTGCTTTTCTCTTGCTGCTTTTAAGATCCTCGCTTTATCTTTAATCTTTGGCATTTTAATTATGATATGTCTTGGAGTGGGCCTCTCTGCATCCATCTTCTTTGGGACTCTCTGTGCTTCCTGGATTTGCATGTCTATTTCCTTCACCAAATTGGGGAAGTTTTGTTTCATTATTTTTTAAAAATAAATTTCCAATTCCTTGTTCTTTCTCTTCTCCTGGTACCTCTATGATGCGAATGTTGGAATGCCTGAAGTTGTTCCACAGGCTGCTTACACTATCTTCATTTTTTTGGATTCTTTATTCTTGTTGTTCTGATTGCTTGTATTTTGCTTCCTTATGTTCCAAATCATCGATTTGATCCTTGGCTTCACCCACTCTACTGTGGTTTCTTTATAAATATTTCTTTATTTCAATTAGTGTATACTTCATTCTTGATTGAATCTTTTTTATGCTGTTGAGGTCCTCACTAAGTTCCTTGAGCATCCTTCTAACCAGTGTTTTGAACTTAGTGTCTGATAGATTGCTTATCTCTGTTTTGTTTAGCTCTTTTTCTGGAGTTCTCATCTTTCATTTGGACTGTGTTTCTTTGTCTCCTCACTTTGGCAGACTCCCTGTGTTTGCTTCTATGTATGAGGTAGATCTGCTGTGACCCCATGTCTTGGTACCATGGCATAATGTAGTAGGTGTCCTGTAGGGTCCAGTGGCACAGCCTCCCCTATGACCCAAGCTGGGAACTCAAGGTATGCCCTTCATGTGGGCTGAAGACACCCTCCTCTTGTAGTTGAACCTTGCTTGCAGTTGGCAGGTCAATAGGAGGGACTTACCTAGGCCAGTCAGCTGTAAGGCCAGGCTGTGACCACTGACCACAAAACTCCACCCTCTGTGGAGGATCAGTTATGCAGGAGCAGGGTGGTGATGCTCTGATGTGGGCAGTAACTGTTCAAAGGGTGTGCAGGCTCTGCAGTTTCCCTGGAGGTGCAGGCCAAGATCTGCCTCCGCCTGTGTTTTGCCCAGGGCCACCCTGCCTGAGCTATAAAGCAATCTGAGATGGCTGCTACTTGTGCTGGGCTTGGGGATTCCAAGGTGAAGCCAAGTTGTGAACCTAGGCTGGCTGCTGCTTGTGGCAGGCCTGGGGCCCCTTAACAAGAAGTATGGGGACTGAGGGCTCACTGAGATTAGTTGTTGCTTGTTTGAGAGGATTTAGAAAGTTGTAAAGCATGAGCCAAGATCAGTCATTCATGTGAAAGAGTCTTTGTTAACCACTTGGGTTGGCCTGTATGTTGAGTAGCATGGAGTCTCAGAGGACATCCAGGGTAGGACAAACAGTTATCGAGGGTGATGGAGTCTCAGATATGGCATCCACCGGCTGGCTCTGTGGTTCTGTGCAGGGATTGTTCAGAAAAAGACAATGGCTTTTCTGTCTTAGAGAAAGGCGTCCCCAGCTCTAGCCTTGATGCCAAACCATTTACTTTCTCCCTGTATGCCACTGATGCCTTTAAAGCTCCCACCCCAGTGCTGGAGCTCAGAGGGAATAAGTCTGAGTAAGTCCATGTGTGGGTTCTTTAAGAGAAGCTGCTTGGAGCTCCAGAAGTTTCTTCCACTGACTGAGTTCCTGCTGATTTTTTGCAGCCAGAAGTTATGTGGACTTATCTTCCTGACACTGGAACCCTAGGCTGGGGGGCCTGGTATGGGGCTGAGACTCCTCACTCTTGAGATATCCCCCCAGAATTTTTACCTACCACATGTAGGTCTGGGACCAGCCCATTCTATGTCTCTGCCCCTCCTACCAGTCTGGATGTACGTGGTTTCTTTAATTCTGTAGTTGTCAGATTTCCATTCAACTCAATTTCTGACCATTCTGAGTGGTGGTTGTGTTATAGTTTAGTTGTAATTTTAATGTGGTTATGCTTGGAGGTGAGCCGTGTTTACCTATGCTGCCATCTTGACTGGAAGTCTAAGTTGATTTTGAATGGGAGCTTTCTTTCCAGTACTTTGAGGTCTATAAGACATATCATGGAAATGTACTACCGTGGAAAATGAAGAGTGTTTAAATCACATGGGGAAAGGAGAAGAGCCTGTGGTTTTCCTTTTGATTAATTGCTGTAACATTCTCTTCAGGTGGCTGAGGAGGTTTCATATTTTCTTTAGATCATTAGGCACTGAAGCTCCTTCAGGACAACTTTAATGCCATGTGAATTCTGCCATTTTGCTAACACCGATTTGGCTCTTGGGTCCACCACTCCATTATAACTATTAACCTTATTCATATTAATTTTTGTTAGAAATCTTACAAAGAGGGGTGCTTCTGGGTATTTAGGGCCACATTCTATTTTAAGACTATATATTAGGTTTTCATAAATTATTCTTGGAGGCCCTGTCCATCTTGTAAGTGTCATGTCTTCATCATCTTCTAGACCCCAGCTAACTGTGCCATCTACTACTCCTTTTTGGCCTTTCTTCCCACAGTTGGAAATTACAAGGGACTTTACCCCAAGCCTGTGGTGGCTGCCACCTTGGGTCACTGTCGCTGGAAGGCTGGCCACCTGAAGAGCTTTGCAAAACTACTAATTCTTGGACACTCCTTGCTCTACAGATTGAGTCAGTAAATCTTGGCTATGTTTTGGGAAAATATGAAGCTTCCTCATACCCCCTAGATGATTCTGGTGCAGTTAGATTTGAAAACCACTTCTGAAGGTAGAAAAACCATCAGAAGAGTTTTAAGTAGGGTAGTGAAATGATCAGAATTAGATTTTAGAAAAATCACCCTGGTGTAGTAATATTGAGAATGGGGTCAGTGCAGCGTGGGAGGGTGGGTTGGGGGTGGGGGTGGCGAAATGTCTTAGGAGGGGATTACAGGAAATGAGTTTCCAGAAGAACCAGTGGCAACGTGAACGGAGTGTAAAGACGTGATTTCAAGAATTGTGAAGAGAGGATATTTGTGAGTGAATGGAGGAAGCTATGGATGAATGATGGCTTCATATCTAAGACAAGTCCATTTAAAAAATCTTTCCAGAAGTTTTATCGAATTTGTATTCACACCCTATTGGTTACTTCTACATGCAAGGGAGAGTGGAAAGTGTATTCTTTCATCTGGACACATTACCACCCAAAATAAATCAGGGTTCTATAAGGAAGGAAAAGAGGATGGGTATTGGGTAGACAACTAACTGTCCTTGCCACCACAATACTCATGAATTAGAAAATTCAATATCATAAAGATATTTTTTCCAAACAAATCTAAATATAGATCCTGTGCAATTCCAACAAATATTGCAACAGAGGTTTGTTTCTTTTCTAATTTATTTTTTTTCAAATACATTTGTCTCTGTCTTCCCCCCACCACTTTCCCTTGCCCCCTCCCTCCTTCCCTCCCTCAGCTCTTCCCCTTTGGTTTTGTCCATAAGTTCTTGCTATATGTTCCTTGATTTTCCCCTTCCCTTCCTTGTCCCCGCCCCCCTCCCTCCCTCCCTCTTGTCTGTTGATTTCTTTTCTTTCCAGTGTTGCTGGTCTTATTTTCCTTGCATCTTTGTATTGTTGGCTCGTTCCACTTATAGGTGAGATCATATGGTATTTGTCTTTCACCCCCTGGCTTATTTCACTTAACATAATTCTCTCCAGTTCCATCCATGCTGTCGCGAAGTTTAGTAGTTCTTTTTTTCTTTCTGCTGCGTAATATTCCATTGTGTAAATGTACCATCGTTTTTTGATCCACTCATCTACTGATGGGCATTTAGTTTGCTTCCAACACTTGGCTATTGTCAACTGTGCTGCTATGAACATTGGGGTGCATAGGTTCTTTTGATTTGGCGTTTTGGTATTCTTAGGGTATAGTCCAAGCAGGGGAATCACTGGATCAAAAGGCAGTTTCATTTTCAGCTTTGTGAGGAAATTCCACACTGCTTTCCACAGTGGCTGCACCAGTCTGCATTCCCACCAGCAGTGTACCAGGGTTCCCTTTTCTCCACAGCCTCGCCAGCACCTGTTGTTTGTGGATCTGTTTATGATGGTCATTCTGACCGGTGTCAGGTGGTACCTCATGGTGGTTTTGATCTGCATTTCTCTAATGATTAGTGATGCTGAGCGTACTTTCAAATGTCTCTGGGCCCTCTGTATTTCTTCCTTGGAAAGCATCTGCCCAGGTCCTTTGCCCATTTTTTGATTGGGTCGTTTGTCTTCTTGGAGTGGAGTTGAGTGAGTTCTTTATATATCTTGGAGACCAAACCTCTATCTGATGTGTCATTAACAAATATATTTTCCCATACGGCTGGCTCCCTTTTCATTTTGCTGATGTTTTCTTTCACCGTGCAGAAGCTTCTTATTTTGATGAGGTCCCACTTGTTTATTCTTTCCTTTTTGTTCCTTGCTTAAGGAGACATATCGGTGAAAAAATTGCTGTGTGGGATATCTGAGAGTTTCCTGCCAATGTTCTCCTCTAGGACTTTTATGGTGTTGCGACTTATATTTAAGTCTTTTATCCACCTTGAGTTTATTTTTGTGTATGGTGTCAGGTGATGATCCAATTTCAATTTTTTGCATGTAGCTGTCCAGCTCTCCCAACACCATTTGTTGAAGAGGCTATTATTGCTCCATTTTATGCTTCTGCCCCCTTTGTCAAATATTAGATGCCCATAGAGACCTGGGCTTATTTCTGGGCTTTCTATTCTCTTCCACTGGTCTATGGATCTGTTCTTGTGCCAGTACCAGATTGTTTTGAGTATAGTGGCTTTGTAGTACAGTTTGATGTCCGGTATTTTGATCCCTCCTACTTTGTTTTTCTTTCTCCAAATTGCTACGGCTATTCGGGGTCGTTTATGGTTCCATATAAATTTTTGAAATGTCTGTTCTATTTCTGTGAAATACGTCATTGGTATCTTAATAGGGATTGCGTTGAATCTATAAATTGCTTTGGGTAGTATGGACATTTTGATGATCTTAATTCTTCCAATCCATGAGCATGGTATATGCTTCCATTTATTTGGGTCTTCCTTAATTTCTTTCTTCAGTGTTGTATAGTTTTCTGCACACAGGTCTTTTACCTCCTTGGTTAAATTTATTCCTAGGTACTTTATTTTTCTTCTTGCTATATCGAATGGTATTTTTTTCCTGATTTCTTCTTCTTCTATTGCATTGCTGGTGTACAAAAATGCCTTTGATTTCTGAATGTTGACTTTGTATCCTGCTGTTTTGCCAAATTCACTTAATAGGTTGACAAGTTTTTTGGTAGAGTCTACAGGCTTCTCTATGTACACTATCATGTCATCTGCAAACAATGATAGCTTTACTTCCTCCTTTCCTATTTGGATGCCTTTTATCTCTTTCTCTTGTCTGACTGCTGTGGCTAGGACTTCCAACATGATGTTGAAAAGAAGCGGTGAGAGCGGACATCCTTGGCGTGTTCCCGATCTTAGTGGGAAAGCTTTCAGTTTTTGCCCATTGAGTATGATATTGGCTGTCGGTTTTTCATATATGGCCTTTATTACGTGGAGGAATGCCCCTTTTATTCCCATTTTGCTGAGTGTTTTGATCATAAATGGGTGCTGTATCTTATCGAATGCTTTTTCTGCATCTATCGAGATGATCATGTGGTTTTTGTCTTTTCTTTTAGTTATGTGATGTATCACGTTTACTGATTTGCGTATATTGAACCATCCTTGCATCCCTGGGATGAATTCCACTTGATCGTGGTGGATAATCTTTTTAATGTATTGCTGGATGTGGTTTGCCAATATTTTGTTGAGGATTTTAGCATCTATGTTCATCAGCGAAATTGGCCTGTAGTTTTTTTTCTTGGTAGGGTCTTTATCTGGTTCTGGGATCAGGGTGATGCTGGCCTCATAGAAAGAGTGTGGGAGTCTTCCCTCCTCTTGGATTTTTTGGAATAGTCTGAGAAGGCTAGGGGTTAGCTCTTCCTTAAATGTTTTGTAAAATTCTCCTGGGAAACCGTCCGGCCCTGGGCTTTTGTGTGCTGGGAGATTCTTGATGACTGCTTCAATTTCCCCAGCTGTTATTGGTCTGTTCAAGCATTCTTCCTCCTTCAGTGTTGGAAGATTATACTTTTCTAAAAATTTGTCCATTTCATCAAGATTTTCAAATTTCTTGGCATATAGTAGTTTCTGACAATCCTTTGTATTTCTGTGTTATCAGTTGTTATTTCTCCTCTTTCATTTCTGATATTATTAATTTGGGTCCTCTCCCTTTTTTTCTTGATGAGTCTGTTTAAAGGCTTGTCAATTTTATTTGTCTTTTCAAAGAACCAGCTTCTGGATTGGTTGATCCTCTGAATTGTTCTTTTCTTCTCTATGTCATTCAGTTCTGCTCTAATCTTGACTATTTTCTTCCTTCTACTGGCTCTGGGATTTATTTGTTGTTGTTTCTCCAATTCTTGAAGTTGTAGTGTTAGGTCTTTTATTTGAAATGTTTCTATCTTTTTTAGGTAAGCCTGCATTGCTGTGAACTTCCCTCTTAGGACTGCCTTTGCTGTGTCCCATGGGTTTTGGACTGTTGTCTGTTCATTTTCATGTGTTTCCAGAAATTTTTTGATTTCTTCTCTTATCTCATTATTAACCCATTCATTTTTTAATAGTCTACAGTTCAGTCTCCATGAGTTTGCAAGTTTTTGAAGTTTCTCTTTGATGTTGATTTCCAGTTTCAAGCCCTGGTGGTCCGAGAAAAAGTTTGGTATTATTTCGATTTTCCTGAATTTGCTGAGGCTTGCTTTGTGTCCTATCATGTGGTCTATCTTTGAAAAACTGCCATGAGCATTTGAAAAGAATGTGTATTTTTCTTCTTTGGGATGTAAGGTTCTATATATGTCAGTTAAGCCTCTTTGATTCAGTGTGTCATTTAGTGCCACAATATGTTTATTAATGTTTTGTTTGGAAGATCTGTCCATTTTTGACAGTGGGGTGTTGAAATTCCCTACTATCAGTGTGTTGCTGTCTATATCTTTTTTGAAGTCATCCAACAATTTCCTTATAAACTTGGGGGCTCCTATATTGGGAGCATATAAGTTTACAATGTTGATGTCTTCTTGATAGATTCTTCCTTTAAGTATTATAAAATGCCCCTCTGGGTCTCTTTTTATGGCCTTTGTTTTGAAATCTACTTTGTCTGATACAAGTATGGCAACCCCGGCCTTTTTCTCTTGCCCATTTGCTTGGAATATTTTTTTCCATCCCTTTACTTTCAATCTGTGTAGGTCTCCTGTTCTGAGGTGGGTCTCTTGTAGGCAGCATATGTGTGGGTCATGTTTTCTTATCCATTCAGCTACCCTGTGTGTTTTGATTGGGGCATTTAATCCATTCACATTGAGAGATATTACTGATAGAAACTTACTCATCTTTTCTCTTTGTACCTGTGTTCCTCTCTGTCTCATTCTTTTCCTTCATCTGCTTAA